AATTTTGGTTTAAATTTCATTTTTTTCCTAAACTTTTAAGTTTATTTAGTCATGGTCCTTAAATTTTTTAATATATATTTTACTTTCGTCGAGATTACTGCCTTAGCCCTGTCCTATCATCTGTATAATGGGGTTCGTCATTTATTGACGGATTTTTCTTTCGACATCAGATATCCAGCAATCGAAGAATGAGTCAAAGAGCCTTCTTCTAACTAGTTGATGGAGTCTTCTTCAAAGAGTTTTTTTTGCATTTGGGCAGCGACAGCCCTCCACCTGCCTACGTAGGCACTGAAACTTTCATCACCTTTCTGACTTAGAGTTATATTGCCGCGAACGGTGCGCTAATCCTTTGAATCCGGTACCAACGGGTATCATCCCTCCTAGAACAACGTTCTCATAGTCTCTAAATTTTACAAAATTTTGATCACGGACTTTCAAATGTCTATTTTAGTTCATGATCGGCGGCCAACTTGAGCATGACTCAACTAATTAAACTATATATCTCCCTGATTGAAAGTCGTACACATATTCAAAGCCACATTATTCATTTGATAAACAACAAAAATGGTTATTTCTTAAAAAAGTTATAGAATTAATATAGACAATTTTAAAGTTAAAAAACCAAAATTGAATAGTTTCGAACTAAAATGGATAGTTTGAGAGTGAAGCGAGTTAGGTGAAATAATCTAAAAAATTAAAGTACCAAAATAAAATTTAAACTTAAATCGGTGGTAGAAAAGGGAAAGAATTTGAAAGTTGGAGAGAGAGAGAGAGGTTATAAATTAATTTAAGAAGTAAAAAGAAAGGCAAGCTGAATAAATATTGCATTCAAACTAAAAGACTTGGACTGAGGAGTTTGAATTAAAAACAATAGAAAAAGACCTTCTACATATTTTAGTCATAACTATTAAAACTATAATTGAACAATAAAATAAAACCATGGAATTTTGTATGCTAGCCCCTAATATATATTTGAAATCTCAAGTGGGTCCATCTGATGTTTCCATAGAAAAAAAAATTATATATATATATATATATATATATTAGTAATTCAAATGATTATTTATATGGTCTACTCATTTGAAATTAATTTTCATAATTGGTTGTTGTTATTTTTCTTTTCTAACTATGATATATATACGTTGTATGTTTGTCTGCTTTAGCTATGTTGTTGTCTTTATTATTCGGACGTGTTCCTGTAATATTTTTAGTAGGTCTCTTTGTTTCTTTTGTGTCCCTTGATCTCACGTTTTGAAATCCATATTTTTTCTTGCGATATACTCGGAGGAAATTTAACTTTATGTTTTTAGAGTCTGAAAACCCATTAAATTAGGGTTCGTTTGGTAACGTTCCCCGTTTCTTGTTTATGTTTCTTTATTTTTAATAAAAAAAAATAGAAGTGTATAGCTCTAACACCCATGAATTCAAGAATGATCGAATAATTTTATATTTATGTATTGTAACAAATTGGAAACACAAACAAGAAACCAGAAACTTGTTTTGATTGTTTCTAAAATTTCTATACAATTTTGAGAATGTTCCAAAAAAAAAAAAACAAATGAAAACAAGAAATATATTTGTTTGCAAAATGCTTAAGTTTCTTAATAAAATTTGAAAACGAAAACAAGAAACAAGAACGTTACCAAACGGACCCTTAGTCCCTCAAATTTCTAATTTTATTTTCGAAAGAATTACAAGTTTGTGTGATAATTAATGGGAACTAATTAGGGATGATTATTTATTCCTCAAGTTGAAAGTGAATGGTGTAGAGATCAATCTTCGTTTTAATATAAATTGACAACAAATGCCTATTTTTAAAAAGGTAATGTGGACTTTATGTGGTTAGGTTTTCTAAAACACAACACAATATTTTCTATGTGGTTAGGTTTTCTAACCACACCGGATTCGAAAACTCGAGAAGACAATCATTCTATCTAAAGGTTAATATAGCTACAATCAATATTGACTTATGCACAAATATAAACGAACTCTATCTTTTCAAATTATGATGTAATAGTTGATTATTTAACTCTTACGTCGAATTTTTATACGCAACCTCCCCTCTTTGATATTTTTTCACTGCTTTTTTAACTCTGTTCAAGTTTGAATGGTATAATATTAAAGAAATCTCTCGTAAAGAAATTATTTTTAAAATAACGCTGAATGAGATGCTTAGAGAGTAATTATACAAAACTTGTCTAAAACTAGAGAGTTCGAGGGTTGGACATAAATTTAATTAGTTATCATTAAAAGGAGAAGAAAACGAAAATTAGAATTTTGTAGTCTTTATATACGAGATTTTTTTTAGTACACCGTATAAAAGTAAAGTGGAGATGTCTGAGTTGAGTTATGCTTCAGTTATCGTTTTTACCTACGAGATTGTTGACTATTGCAAACTCTTGCAAAAATAGTTTTTGTTTGAACTATCTCCTTCATATGTCATTGTGCCTTTTTTCTATGCTCAAAGGTATTGGGATTCACAAGTTTAACTTTTTTTTTTAGGTCGTTCTACTTATTTTTAATTATTTTATATTTTTTTCTTAGACCATAACTTTATTTTTGGAAAACAAAACAAGATTCAAGAAATATAAACGTTGCTAATGACCTGTTTGATAACGTTTCCAATTTTTCTTTTTTGAGAAACATAAGCGTTTGGTAACGGTTCATGTTTTTCATTTGTCATTTTTAAGAAACGTACACAAAATTTTGGAAACAACAAAATGAAATTTTTTTTATTCTCGTTCCCCGTTTTCAGCTTTTTTTTCTTCCAAAACATTATTTTATCATTCTTAACTTATAAAATATAGAATAAATATCATATAAAAATTTAAATATTTAATTAAAAATATCATCATATGCCACACTTTTGTTTTTCAACAATTGTTTATGTTTGTCCTTCGGGATCGCGTAATAGCAAATATATGAGGTCTTGTGGTATCACTTATCTTGAAGTCTTGTGTTCGAGCTTTGGTCACAGTATTGTTTAGTCCAAACAACGAACCTCCTTATTAAAGATCCACTCGTGTAAGCCACCACGACATTTCAATTCCGAGAAATAAAAAAAAATCATTGTTTTCTTTCTTTTTCAATAAAAAAGAAAATTCAAGAATCAGTTACCAAACACAATTACGTTTTCATTTATTAAATAAGAAAAGAAAACGAAAAACAAGAAACAAACCAAAGTTTTACTGGGCCCGACATTTTCCAATTCCATCCCAGCTATACACAAAAATCACATGGGTAAATTTGGACTTGGGGAGAAGGTGTGGTCATTTTCCATCAAGATATGAAGATAAACAAAACCTACCTTTGTTGAAAAAATAAAAAATGGTGACCTTCCCACCTTGTTTTCAGTTCAAATTTCACATCCAATCACACTTTTCCATTATTCAACACTCTCAATATGCCCATTAATTGTCCATGTTCACAAATAGTTGCAATAATGAGACACTTTTTGTTTTTGTTGGCTCTCACATAAATAATGCTACAACTTATTTATTTATTTTGTTGGGTACAATATTCTGGGGCTGGGGTTTGAACTTATGACTAGAAAATCGGAGATAGATGTCTTAACCATTTGAGCTATGCTCGGTTTGATAATGTTAGAACTTATAAATTCATATATTTCTTCCATTTCAATTCATCAACTAAATGATTAGCTCATCAACCCATGTTTCTTCAAGAAGCTTATAATTATTATTACCTCTCACGAAGTTTTAATCGTCTAAAATGTTATCAATATATAGTATGGTATTTGTCAAACAACTTCGTGACAATCAAATTGAGTATTTTAAATTAATTGGTATCAAAACAATCATAAATTATGAGTATATACAGCATCACACACTTCTACTATATATGCATGTATTATGTTAATTGAATATATCAAATATAATTTTACGGGTTGATGCTTGTTGAGAACATATAAATGACTCGTTTGAGTTTTTTTAGAACATAAATTACTTCCACGATTGTAACAATCATTACATATTAAGTTAACCAGAAGTACTCTATTTTAATATGCTATTGTATGCATCTAATTTTACATTTACGATACAATCTATCATTTCATCTAATCATAAATCAAGTTCCTCGAGTTAATGAGAGCGTAGGGTGCTCGATTATTCAAGTCTTTGCTTAAACAGTTAAAAAATTACTCATCTACTTTCCTAAATGTAAAAAAGAAGTGAACTTTATCTATTTAGTCATATTTTCAAAAGAGCAGACTTATGGAACAAACTATTTAAGTCACTCTTACTCATATAAGTCAAAAGATATGACCTCATAGGTAGAAAGAAGGTTCATAATTTACTAGTACTATTTAGATAAAGATTGAGTTGTGGGCATATATCTCATCCAATGATATCTCTCTCTTTTTTATAATGAATTTATAAATAAAAGACAAATGTGTCATCCTAGAGCTAGGTAAAATTTACCTTCATACTCTCGCTTGCCTTCACATGAATAATCAAAATCGAACCATCTATAATTTGTACTTTCGGAACGCAACATACAACACTCTTCATTATACTGCGCTCTCCAAGTCATGTGTTTGTTCCTCCCTTCTTCCCTTCCTACGACAAAGTCTTTATAGGTCGTATCAACACACTATTATAAAAGATGACATTATCATTTTTCATATATAATGAGGCCTCTTTAGGGTTACTTAGAGCTTAATTGTTTGATAACGTTTCTATTTATTGTTTCTGTTTCAGCTTCATTTTTAATAAAGAAAAATGAATTGCATGGCTCCAACATCCATGAATTCAAGTGTGACAAAACAATCTTTTTATTTATATTTTGGAACAAATTAAAAATGTGAACAATAAAGAAGAAACTTGTTTTGGTTGTTTTCAAAATTTCTATAGAATTTTGAGAATGTTCCAAAAGAAAAGGAGAAACAACCAACGTAGTCAAAATACTTAGATTTCTTAAGAAATTTAGGAACGAGAAATGAGAAACGACAACGTTACTAAACGAGCCCTTAATCCTAGGTTTAATAGTCTTTTTTTTTTTGGTTAGTTTCTTCACTAAAACAAGTAATCTTATCACTTGTCTCATTAAAATTCCAACTATGTTCCAATTTTCCTTGGATATTTCTCACTTGATGATCATGATAAAGAAGACTCAAGTGAGAAAAGCATACAAAATGGAAACAAATATATCTTTGGTATACATATTTTATGTTCATCATGAAAAAATCATATATATATATATATATATGCAAGTTGGCACAGCGCTTTCGCTTTAAATCAATCTCGCTCATCTGGTCTGCCCGGTCAAATCAGCTCTCCTGCCTTTGTATCCCATGCCCGGTGCCGTTGTCCCATTGAACTTGCCCGCTCCTAATTCGGCTTCAGAGAGTGGGGAACCCAGTCCTATCCCAATGTTACTCAACTATATCCTATGAATTTCATTTCGCACCGGAAACTATTCTAGGAGAAGTTCGAATCCGTTTCGTTCGGATATTGATCGGTCTTGGTTTGACATGGTTTACGCGTTACTGGTTCCCGGAAGAGTTAATATCTCCATTAGCTAAACCCTTTCTTACCCTGCCTTTGGACTCGTATTTTGTTTGTACACAATCAACGGAGGCCTTCCCGACATATGTTGCAATGTCTTCAATAGCATGCTCTTACTTCKATATAAAATTAAATAGAAACAAAACATCATCATACCTATAATATTTATTCTTACTTTTCTTTGTACAACAATAGAATTTTGTAAACACAAAGAAGAAAGAGAGGAAAAGACCACAAAACCCTCATACAAACACTCAAATAATTTCTCCATTTTTCTCAATCAAAAGGGCCTTTTGAGGTCCTTAAAATCCAAAGATTCAATACATTCTAACCTATCCCTATGAAGACCATTCAACAGTTTCAACAACTCAGTTGCTTTCTCCTTTGTCCATTCACTACAACCAACTTGCAACAATAGCAAAAGCTTCTGAAACGCTCCCACTTGAAGTGCTTCTACTTTAACTCCTCCATCTTCCCTACTCTCATGCTTTACAAGCTTCCAAACAATGGCCACCGATATCTCGGTCGCCACATCCGAAACCCTAAGTATCTTCTTCACTATCACGGGCATCGTCAGCGCGTGCCCGTACACCTCTTCTCTTCCTTCTTTGCTCTCACAAATGCCATCGAAGGCTCCCAACGCCCTCTCGCACACGCTTCTCTCCGCATCGACGAGCGTCTCGAGAAGCAAGGAGACGAACCCCATTTGCAAAAGGGCCTTTGTGAACCTCTCTGGATTGGAGGAAGAGGCTATGGCGTGATATGTTATGAGAAGTGAGGCTTTTCTTGAAGATGGGCAAATGGGCTCCTTTATTAGCTTCACAAAACCCTCTAAGGCTCCTTGGATTTCAGCCAACTCGGTTACTTTTTCTGGGTATGATGAAATGATCTCTTTCAATACCAAAACTGAGCTTCTTCTTCCTGATAAGTCTCCTCCTTTCAAAAACCAAACAAGGGATTGCAATGAAGCTTCGGATTTGAGGTGTTTAATGGCTTCTTCTTGTAGGGGGAAGACGGTGGCGATCGCGGATAACACTTCTGCCAAAACCTCGTTGCTCTTCTCGAACGTTTCCGGTCTTGAAAATACTTCGAATGCAGATGCCAACACGTGGCCTGCGTAAAAAATATGAATAAAAGATTAAATATAATTTACTCGAACTTGAAATAGCTTCATTTCCTCCCTATTTAATATCGACAGTTTGAGGTTGATGGTTTATTCTACCAACCTGTTCCATTGGCGATAATGCATTTCTTGTTGCGCTCGCTTTCCTTCCCCAGCCTCTTGATCCTCTCCACCAAGGATTGGCATTCCTCCGCATCCCCCCGCCGCGTCGCGGCCGTGATCTTCGAGAGAATCTCGAGCAGCTGGACCGAGCTGAGGGGAACTCTCGGCGTGGGAATCCTCTCAATCCCATAAGCCCTATTGTCAACGCACCAATCTTGGATCATCTTCCTAATGTTGTGATTGGGAATGGGGTCAAGACTCACCAACGGCTGGTTGGTGATGGGGCAGCTGAAGTTGCCCCCTTCAATCCAAGTCTCAATGCTGGCTCGATCGTACGTGATCCCGGTCGACAAAGTCACCGGATCCTTCATCAAGTCGAGCGATATCGGGCACCGGAAGTGGGTCGGGATCGTCAGCTCCACCGCCCCCCGGCCCTCAACCTCCCTCTGCCGAGTCGCCCTCCGTCGTCTCCAGGAAGAAATCATATCAGCCGAGAACAATTCCTATAGATAGATAGATAGATCGAGAGCGGAGTGAAGAGAGCGAGGGAAGATAGTATATATATTATATGTTATATGTGAAAGGGTGTGTGGGAGCACGCGTTTGAAAGGTAGGGATTAAGAAAATGGTAGGTTGAAGATGGAAGAAGGAAAAGAAGAAGAGGGAGATTTTGAACGTTGACCAAAAAAGAAAATAAAAAAAATAAAAGGGATCCAAGTTTGAATTTGAAATGGTAAAATGGGAATTTGATTTTGTTTTATAATTAAGAGAGAGAGAGAAGAATGGATCAAAGACTAATTTGGGTTCGAAAAAATCAAAGTTTTTGACGTAAAGGAGATGGCCGTCAACACAATGCCTGGTCGGTGAGTCTCCTACTGACTCACTCTCCAAATTTTGCCCAAACTCCTGTCCCATATCCTATGTATGCATGTGTGTGTATATATATATATATATTATATGTGTGATTAAATTACAAAAATACCCTTTCATCTTTACAAAGGTTTCAAAAATACCCTTCATTTAGTATTTTGAACACAAAGTTGATGTGGTAGAATCTGAAACGATGTGGTAATTAACATTGAATATTCTAACCTTTAATTGAATATTCAATCTAACTAAAAAAATTGAATATTCGATCAAACAATCTAACTAAATATAAGAAAATACAAGACATTGACTAAAAGAGAAAATTTACATACCGAAAGAGAAAAGAAATTCAAGTTTTGATGAAGAAAATGTTGGGAGAAAGAGTAAGAAAAAACTCTTTATATATTTGTAGAAAATAAGAAGTTACGAAAATTTTATAGTTGAAAGACAAAATTACCCTCAAAATATCTATGAGAATGTTGAAATTAAAAGGGCAAAATAAAGAGAAAAAGTTTCTTCCTATAGTCCCTTTTATATATACTATAGATATATTTAGTACAACATGGGAGTCGACATCAAACTCATAATCTCTTAACCTCTTAATTATTTCCGACGAAGACTTTTTGGTAATACATATATAGTTGATTAACTAGGATCATAATAACAATCA